TACATTGCTAATTTAATCTTTTATATATTCTTTACTTTTCTTACGTATATATATATGGATAAAGTGTTACTTTTCTGGTATATTTTATTATTAAAGGTATTATTATTTAAGATATATTTTTATTTTATAAAATTATTTTTATGATTATGATGATGGCAATAACTCATATGAATACAATACCCATATTGGAATGTTTTCCTGCCAGGGTCAATTTCTTTGGCCAGTCCGCCACTGCTGGCCATTACATGTTAAATACAATAGCTGAAGGTGGTCATGTGTAATGTCTGTAAAAGTGATGATTAAACAGAATATACTTTGATTCTTTGAACAAAAAAAGTGTCATTAAAATTTTTATAGGATCTCAAGCTTTCAAATGTTGACAAGGTTTCACAGGCAATATAGAGAACAGTGTCTATCATATATGCACGTAGAATTAACTGATACACACTATGTAAGGATTATGTTAATTTTCCTAACAGGTAAATTTTGAGTTAAAGTTCCTTTCCTATCGCTTCTTAATTTCAACTTACAACTTCCGGCCAGAATGTAGTTTTAGAATCACGTTCGAATACAAATTTAAGGAGTAGTATTTAACCGCGAAGTTCTACTGTCTTAGTCAGAGAGAACCAGAGATTCTGGCTAGAACATGTCTGCCTTTTTGGACTACTCTCTCCTAAGTTATTATTACGCTCGGCCATACTTTAGGCCCTTCATAGCTTAGCAGTTTATTAGCGTTAAGAGGCCAACTCTGTTAGAAGTTTGATTAGCTTTGGCAATATCATTTTAGTTTAGTTTAGTTTTTAGTATCTTAAGTTCAAGCCTGAATGCCGGCTTTATTGTAAAACTCCAAGACGGAGTTCTGTTAAACTTTAATTTTAAATAATAAAGGGTCTTTAACCTTTTTTGAGTTTCATTCACTGTCTCACAAACTCAAGTGTTTAGTCGCTTATCAGTTCTTAAGATTCTTCAATTTTAACTGTAACTGAAAAGTGCGCAGTACAGAATCTTACAACTGAAAAACCAAAACATTATGACCACTTACTCAAAAACACGTTACACACTCTTTGGCCTGCAAAACAGCTACACTGCAGCAAATAGTTTATCCAACAGATGGCAGTATCTGCCAAACGTTTTTGGTAATTGTCAACGCACATGCATAACCTGAGAGTAGGAGAAAGTATGTTTTAAGAGAATGAGTTTTCGTTAAGCATGTTGCTGTGCGCTTTTGCTGTGTAAATAAAAGCATATTTTTGTAGCACGGATGTTCTTTACTCTATAATGTGAAGCACTAGGTTAGTGCACGAATCTCAATTGATTCAAAATCCATTTTCAAACCGTGGACCACCACAGCACCTTGCCTTGGCATTGAGTTCTTGGTATATGACTGGAGACAGGTTGTACCAAATGGTCAGCAGTGGTCCCGCAATGTTCAGATATTCTGACATGGTGGTATTTGAGCTCCAAGCTACTGCTCCATGACATCCCAAATAAGCTCTATTGAGTTATGCTCCAGAGAGTTAAGTGGCCAAGACATTAATTGGAGTTCATTCTTATGCTCCTCAAACTACTCCAACACAGTTTGAGCCTTGTGATATAGAGCATTGTTCTGCTGGTAATGTCTATTTCCAATAGGGAACACAAATGCCATGGAAGGGTGCAACTGATCTGTGATTATGTTCAGATGGTCTACAGCTTTCATGGTCCTAGAGCAGCTTTCATGGTTCCTATATCCTAGAGCTGCCCATGAGAATGTTCCCCAAAGCAAAATACTGTCACCCTCAACCTGTGTATGACCTGCTCTACAGGCAGGCAGCAACTATTCACCTGGAAGACGGTGTACCCTGACACGATCATGAATGAGATATCACGATTCATCTGACCGGGCAACTGTCTTCCACTTATCCATGGTCCAGTCTCGATGCTCCCAGGCCCACTGTAGGCATAGTTGACAATGGCACACAAGTGAGACATCTGCTGCCAGTCCCATATCACACAGTGTCTGCTGAATTGTGCATTCTGAAACACTTGCACTTGGACTCGCATTGTATTGGGCTGTCCGCTGAACCACTGTCTGTTGCTGATTTTGCTGTACCAAGCGGGACAGTCTTTGACGCACTTTTTCTTTGATGATGCACGGACATCCAACACCTTAGCATCTACTGCTGGTCTGACCATCATTTATTCACTTTGCATTATTACTAACAACAGCATATCATGAACAACCTACCAGTCACGCAGTTTTGGAGATACTCGCTTTAAGTCTTTGGGCGATTACAATCTGCTCTTTATCAGTTTTACTTAGATCAGCTGCATTTCCCATCCTACCAGTCATGCAGTTTCGGAGATACTTGTTCTAAGTCTTTGGGCGATTACAATGTGCTCTTTATCAGTTTTGCTTAGATCAGCAGCAATTCCCATCATTTGCAAAAGTGCAAGAATGACTCCTTAACTTCTCCAGCAGCAGTTACATACCATTCCCACTTAATCATGTGCCCTCGACGTCATCCAGATAGGTTCGCTGAAAAATATGGGGATGGTCATAACATTTTAGCTTGTCAGTGTATCTTTGTTATGGCATAAATTTATACTCCGACATTTGTAGGCCTGAAATATGACCTTCAAAAGTAGATATGCATCCAACTACATCCTGAGAAACTTTCTTCAAAACCTTCCAGAGTACTATAAAAGTTGCAAAGCAACATATTTTTAGATATTTAATAAATATGTTTTGCAAATACGTAACAGTTCCATTATTTTTTCAACTATTTTTTTCATCCAGGTCAAACATAAAAGATCCTGCACCTGCAAAAACTAAATTTTCATTTAGAAAAATTTAGAGTCCAAGCCAGTTTCATTAAATTTTGATTCATGTCATATAAATGACAAATTCTATGGCTATACAACAATCTCCAGAATTAATTCATATACAGTCAAAAGTCGTTAATTCAGACACCCATAATCTGGACCTCAAAGCTACAAACTTTCTGCGCATGTGTCGCGTTGACGCATGCACATAGGCGTTTACGCATGCGCATAAGACCTTTACGGCTGCGAATATGCATGTGCGCATGTGCATAATACGTTTACGCATGCGCGTTTAATGTATAACGGACGGTATAAGCTAAGCTAAAATTATCTAATTCATATTCTTTGTTTCTCTAACCATTCCGAAATCTGTTTATCAATTTCACGCTGCTCTGGGGCTGGGGGGGGGGCGCAATGAATTGGAAGTTGATCTGTCAGCATTATCCTTAGCTTCAGGGCAGATGTTTTTATTTTATTTGGCTTATAATTCCTTACTAAATGTAGTATTTCATCTCGATGTACTCCGTCTTTGATACGATTTAAATCAAATTCCTTGTCATTATAATTCGCTTCCGATAGTAAAGAAAGTGACACAGAGGTTATTGAAAACGAAAAAATTTCGATTGACAAATTAGTCGGAATTCTCGACACAGCAATGGACTTTAACAGCCGAACTTTGTAACTGAACAAGAAATTATGTCTGTTTATAGAATTAAAGAGAAAGTATTATCACATAAAACGAAGCAACTTAAACAACTTACATTGAAAGAAATGTTTAATAAAGTAAACAAATAAATATTAAGCTTTTTTTTTGTAAATTTTGATACCCTTTAGATCATAATTGTTCTTTATTTCATAAATTATGGTATCATATTTTTAATTTTATAATTTCTGCATGCTATCTAACCAGATTTAAACTGATGTTCTATAATCCGGAAAAATCGACAATCCGGAATCGCCGAAGTCCCAACGAGTCCGGATTAACGACTTTTGACTGTAATGTGCAACTGAAGAACAGTCATAAAGAGCACCATTATGTAGGGAATTTTATGTTAATTTACTAGTTATTTATAATTTTAGCTTTTACTTATAACTTCTTTTCATATTCCTTCCCAGAATGCAAACGAGTAGCCAATATTTAAAATGAGGTTTTCGAAATTTAAGACAGAGCATGTTTCTGGTCTCGTGTACCTTCTACGTGCTATATTTGTTAGTTTCCTGCCATTTCTGATAGTTGTAATTATTCAGCCTTGCGTTGTATTGCTACCAACACTTAAAATTCTGACACTCAGGTAGAGCAGCAAGCCAGCCTCTACTATAGTAATTAATTACATAATCTTTGATTACTGTTCCATGTTTAACTTAAATCTGACTGTTCTGTTTAGTTGTATAACACTGAGTTGTGGCTTATATTGTAGAACATATCTGTTCTAAAATTGGTTCTAGAGTTCTAAAGGGCTTATTTTTAACCATCTCAAGATTTTGTCATCGTTTCAGACATAGTGATAATTCACGTCACATCTGTTGAGTTATTGGAACTAATTAACTTCACCACATAAAATGAAACACTGCAACTAAAACAAACAACATTTTGTCACTTCAGTAAACATAACATAAAAATAAATGAAAAAAGAACCAAAAATTTAACTATATTACCAAATGGATGAAATATAACGCATAAGTGTCTTTTTGCCAATAAACACCACCATAAACTTTAAATTTAGCATTTGATATATTAAAAAGAAAAAAAAAATATATTTGTGCTCATCTGCATGCAGTTCATGCCGTGTTTACTTGTATGTGTAGCACATGTCATGTTTACTTGTATGTGTAGCACATAATATATATAGGCTACATAAGAATATTATTTTACACACTGCTTTACATTGAAAACACCACTGATAATTACATAAAAATATCGTTTTGCTGCTAATTTTTAATATAATTAGTTCTTCTCCATTCATTACAAAAAAATGAGAGCTTCAAATTAGTATTTCATCTGTAATTAATTAATTCATCTTCAAATTAGTGTTTAATCACTGTAACCTCTTCTTACAACAGATAGTCTGATGTATTAATTTTCAATCAGTTCTATAGCTAATTGCAAAATATATAATATGCTAATTGCAAAATATGTAATATGTTCTACAGCTAATATGCAAAATACACAAGTAGCACTGTAACACAAATATTACCTTTTAATAATGGAACCTCTCCATTATCAAGAGCATCTTTTAAATTTCCATTATGGAGAGTATTTAATATAACATGCATAGCTCCAACCCTTGGAAGTGTAACATGTTCAAGTATAGGAAAGTTATTTTTTGAAGCATACCTGGAAAAAAAGAATGTTAAATAACTTGAATTTTCTGAGATGCTGGCCATTAAAACTGCTATAACATGAAGGGAGCATATAACAATCCTGAATGCATTTGCATAAAAGGTAGGACATGCCAATGATAAGCTTTTCATAGTGTATGCACGTGCTTTAGACAAAAGTAGTGTCACTTCAAAGTGGTATAAAATGGCAGATTGAAATGACAATTTTTAATTCAGAAATCATGCTTACTCTTTTTGTAGTAGTTAAAGGTTGAGTTACGCCTCATGTAAGAAAAGGGAATTCCCACCTGCAGGTCTCAGGTCTTAATCCGAAGAGAATCTTGACATAAAAAGATTGCTAATTATTATACTTCACAAATACTGCTTGTGTTGATCAATATTCAATGACTGTTGTGAGAATTTGCATAAGAGGGTATAGAAAGAAACATGTGGAATCTCATCACCCCCAACCTATTGTCACTATTTGACATGACAGACATCTTGTCTGCATCTATGTCACATTGTACAGCCAAATGACCTCCTAGGTCATTTGGAATGGCATGGAAACTGGGTGTGCTCCAATCTGGAATGGCATGTATGGCAACAGTGCCGATCCTAAAAAATCAGCCACCCATGTGAAAACTAAAACTGGCCACCCTTTTTTTAAATATGTTTGTTAATCATTTCACTGACAACACTGAGAGGCAACAAGGCAGCCATTGCTTTAACTTTTTTTGAGGCTACGACAGAGATATCAGCATTTACAATGGGGTGTACAATGACACACATGGATGTGTCAATGGCAAAATGTTGTTTTTTCTGACAAATTCTGCTTTTTCTTATGACATCCTAATGGCTATAACTATTTGTGAAGATAAAAATCTGAATGAATGTTGGAAGTTTGCTTTTTCATTGTTACATATCCATCTAGCACTTAACACTGATAGTATTAGGCGGCATTGGGTACTATTCCAATTTACATTTCGTTCCATATCCAGGGCTTTGACTAGTCGTCAACCCCATAATTTTATGCCTGTTATCATGACTTCAATGCCCATGCTTATACCATACCTTTAGGGTTTCCGCTGCCTCACCTTTTAATAGGACAATGCGAGATCACACACCAGACAAATTACCCATACTGCCCTAAGTTTCCTCAATACACAGGGAGTTTAACACTTGCTTACACATCCATAAATGCAATTCTACTATTTATTTCCTTCATGGCACAGTAACTTTAACAGCCAGCAGCATATTTAAAATAGGCAAATATATTATTTGTTTACAAATTTTTTTTCTTTAAATATCATTAAATTACACTATTTACAATCATTTGCACTTCACATAATTGGTACATGGGACTCTCAATGGAATGTGGGATTATTAATTTAACAATAAATTATGATATAAATCACAGTGCCAAGCTCCCCCCCCCAAGCAAGAAAAAAAATCTGTGCAACAATGAAAATGCCAGATTCTTAATTTCATTTTGATAGATACACAGTATTTATTGCAATTCAAAGATTTGAAGGTAGAGATTTAATTGATTTTTATTTGTATTTATCCAAAAATTAATACACTGAATAACAAATTTTTGGCCCTAAGAATAATAGTTTTCTTTGAGAATATATTTACAGAGTTGCCACTGAAACAGGAGAATGAAATTCCCTGACTTTTCCAGATTTTCCATGTGTGTTTTAAGAAAATTCCAGTCAATCCACATAGTGCACGTTGGTTGTGCTGAGAGATAAATTAATTATGCTACTACTTGAAAACACTTAAATTTGCTGATTACATATGACTTATATACATATATATATAATCCCCAAAACATTACTATTATAACTGTAATAGAAGTTGTTTTTTCCACTGGAGACTGAGATTAGGATTGGATTTAAAAATGTCTTAGCAGATATTTTGCAGCTAAATGAAAGAAAAAATATATTTAATGATATTTTTAAATAAATTTATGTATTTTATATTTATTTAGTAGCATACATAAGCAAAAAATAGGTGCATTAAATTTCGTGATGTTACGCCATTATACTACTAGAATTAGTTTTAGGATTATGCCAGAGAAAATTGCCTGAAAGTATTATTAACTAATAATAAATAAATTTAGAAGGAAGAAGCCACATTAAATGATACAAATAACATTAAAGTTAATTACTTTATTACAATAATCAACAATATTTTGGCAAACAGTTATATTAAATGGTTAGCCTGGATTACAATTTTCTTTATTTTACTGCAAAATGATAAATAAGTCATTTACTAAGGACGAAAAAAAAAAAGCTTAAAAGATTTTTGTAAAATCCTAGTATATGATATGGCCTTGGCACGATTTTGAAAACTGTCACCAACACCCTGAAGACCCATTTACTGCTCATCAAAATGTCACCAAATCCCATGTGCACCGTATACCAGGATTACGCTGATTTTGTTTTATACGAAAACGGAAAGGTATTTTTCTTTTGTTTAACATGCACTGCACATGCACGAGTCTCTCAATTCACGAGGTTACTGGAAACCAAGGAAGTTAACCTCCTTGCTGGAAACTTGCTTTGCCTTTCTGAAAGACAATCTGATTGGAGCTGCCAAAATTGACTCTATGCCAGCTGCCCAAATGACACTCACATGATACATAATTTGCCAAGAAAGTGATGGCTTCCAACGTTGGCACAAAAATAGCTTTTCCATGAACCACCATATCAAAGTCCCTGATTTTTCCAATTTTAACTAAAATATTTAAATTCCCTGAATTTGGTCAATTTTCGAATTCCAACTTTTTTCCAGGTAGTGTGGCAACCCTGTATTTATCCGTAAATGGATTCTTTTCACAGTTGAAAATTAGTAAGAAAAGAACCCAGCTGACCAATGAGCATTTAGAATCTGCAATGAAGATAATTTTTCTCCAGTGCACAGACACTATATAAACAAATTTTGCATTTAAAAACAAAATTTATAATTATTTACATACCATATGTATTTTAATTTATGTATGAAGGAAAATTTAATGAATAAGAGAAAGAAACTAGGTTTTTCAATATTTATTCTCAAGTTTTTTTCGTCAAAACTTAGAATGTTTTCAAAATTTGTTAATTTAAATTAAAGTAAGTTATATAATAATTTGTTAATTTAAATTAAAGTAAGTATATAATAATTTGTTAATTTAAATTAAAGTAAGTTATATAATAATTAATTAAATTATTTGAAAGAAATGTCAGTCTGAAAATTTAACCTTTAGCTGTCAATATAATTGAACTGCAAAGTGTAACCAATAAAAATGTCTTAGATGTATCAAAGTTTAGATTTCAGTAAGAAACTAAATATTTATTTGTCACTGCCGAACGAAACTCCATGTTTTTGGGGTGGATTACCTATAGAATATTAACAACTAATTTTTTTTACCATAACATATTTCTATATGACTAGATTGAAACATATCTGAGAAAAATTGATAGTCCACAAATGAAAGATTTCCCTTGTCAGCAACAAACATTTATCTCGCACAGAAAAGTTTACTTCGGATGAAAAGCAACCTTCACTAGGATTTTAAAGTTTTCTCAACCTTTTTTCAAAGATTAAGGAACAAAGTTTAAATTTTACTCTTGGGTCAATCGGAAACTTCAGTATTTTTTTAAAAATTAAAGTGTGTTTTCTTCTAATTATTTTCTTAATGTTGATAAGCAGCAACCTCGATTAAAATGGGTATTTACGTATATTCGTTTCTGCTCATGCTGCATTATTCTAGCTTGTGCTGTGGTGTAATTTTTTTCCCCAGTACAGTGCTAAGAATACAGAACCAAAAAGTTCATTTTTGCCATAATATGCTTTTATTTTAAAAATAGAAAAAAAAATTGCTGGTAAAACTGCTCTTAAAATTTGTGATATATATGGACATGCAATATATATGTGCTGTTTCTGATAATACAGTTCATAGGTGGTTTTAGAAGTTTAAGTGAAGAATTTTCAGCTTCAAAGATATACCCATTCTAGAAGACTATCCTTTGAAAACAAGAACCTATCAGATCTTACTCCTTCAGAATTTAATTTCTTCAGGTTGCCACAAGACTTGCTGAACTTCAAAATCCACTCTGGTTTTCGAAATTCTCTGAGCAGTCTTCTTATGAGACTGTCAAATAGCATCTAAATAACTTCTTTATAAAAAAGAAATTTTTCAAGTGCTGAAGAAATGGAAAAAGTCACTGAAATAAAAGATGCTTTATGTGATTCAATGAAGTTTTGTTATATTTTTGTACTGCTTCATTTGTATTTATCATAAAAAAACTGCATAACTTTCTGGGTGATTTATTGTATACCACAGTTATTAAAGGATTACTTACTGAAAAGAAATACAAGACATAGTATATGACAAATCAATTCTAAGAATGACCCCCTGTACCTTATTTGCGTTGAAATTATGCGAGTATTCATATTTGAACAATTTACAACTAATAATTTATTAATTTGAAGTTGACAAAGGCGTGAGTTAGTTGTTGAGATGGAAATAGTTATATACATGTAACCAAATTGGTAAAGCACCATATTAATATCAAATTTTACATGAATATCATAAACAGTACAACAAAAACATTACAGTTAAGGAAAATGACACATGATAAAAATGCTATGAAAAAAATGAGCATGTTTGAGAAGATTACATCTGTGAAAAGATGCAAGAGAAGATCCAAGCAGACACCCCAAAATAACAATGATAGATTCTAATATTAACAAAACACAAGATTGACCTATTCAAACAAACAATTAAGAGTGAAATCAACAGCTGAAGAATTACATATCAAACTAGACACAGTTAAGCTAATTTTAACCAAATAACTTGACTTGAGAAATATTTCTGCAAAATTTATGTCTCACATAGACAGTCACAGAGAGACTTTATCCTAAAAAAATTTTAAAAAACTACATAATTACATCATCTTGCATTCATTTGTCATACTTTCTAGTACTTTCTGGCCACTTCCAAAATTAGGAGATGTGCTGAAGTCAAAGATTTTCTAATGCACTTGATATCTAGTAGGTATTCAAGCATACTGCTGAAAAAGAATTGCTTCCAGACGTGGGAATGTCATTTAAGTCAGTGCATAAATGCATAAGGGGAATACTTTGAAGGCAATAATATTCACAGTATGTATAGTTTAATATATTTATTTTTTAAAGATGCATTCTAGGAATTATCAAGAAAGGTGAATTTTTTAAAGGTGTATTATCTTATCTAGTATTTAACATATGGCTGCAAAAAGGAAATACTGCTTCTTACTTTACACTCGTTTCTTTTCGTTTTGATAAGAAACCACCTTCTGGAAACAATATGATCCAACGTCTATTGCGACCAAGATACACATTAAGCAAATGGTCTCTCAGCTTCTTCATTTGGTATTCTCGAACATTCTTACCCTAAAAACAGAAAATTCAATAAGTATATAATGACAGATATTAAAGCGTTCAACCAAAAAATTGCATTAAATGTAACTAAGTAATAACAGCACTCAAATTCAAAGTCAGCCACATAGTTTTATTGCAACTATTCTTTGGGAACTTTTCAAATTAGTGCTGAAACCAAAAATTTTATGATTTCAAAGTGCAGTGTTATAAATCAGATGCAAAACAATAAATAATGAAATAAAAAATAAATAGATAAATAAAATAAAAATGTTCATGCATTTGATATCTACTGCCACTTGGAATTATATGTGCATAATGTTTAATAACAGTAGCTCTATTTGAATGGCAGCAAAACAAATTATTATTCAGAATAAGATTTCCACACTTCTCTCATCACTCAGGATCAGAACTGGCAGATAATACCACAGAATAACCTCCAGTACAGAAATATGTATTCAACATGAATGCCAATAAGGTTACTTTTTATGATGAAGCACACTGAAGCTACATTTTTACAGAATTATCACAAAAATGAATTACTTTTAATTTCCATCACTGGTGAAAAAACACGTCTCATCATTAGATGAAAACTGCTCAATGATATTATCCACGAGGTCAAAAATATTCAAGCAGATTCTACAAGCACAGAACATGGGGTGGGGGTGGGGTTGAATCTAACTTTAAATAAATTAGCAGTAGTTTACATCTGAAAATATTTCAAATAGTAGATACAATACAGTGTGTTTATAAATGAATGACCCAGTTTTAAAATTTAATAATAAATCGATGTACTAGCTTACCTGTATAAAATCTATACCGTAAGCATTGGCTGTTGACCAAGTTTCTCATGTGCTACTTGTTTGCTTGTTATACTTACTACAAAGCCACAGCTTCAGTTTTCCAGATGGTGCCACAACAAGAAAAAGCTATCTGCGTGATCTGTTTTAAGGTATCCAGATCTGCAATTTCAGAGCAGCATGAGTTTTGTGCACGCTTTCGATGCAGTGTCCTGTGAGAGTAGTGCATGGTCCATTTTTCTTCAGACAAGAAACTGTGATTGGTGACTCATTTCTAGACATGTTGGAAACTTGTTTGATATCCTAGCTGAAAACCAATTATGATGATAGCATTTTGAAACTAGACGGTGCTCCCCTCCATTTTCAAAGGATTGTATGAGAGCTTCTTAATCATGTTCTTCAACAATGCTCAAATGCACGTGCTGCAACAGCAGACAAAAACCTTCTCCCGCGGCCACCCCATTCACCAGATTTAACCCATGTGATTTCTTTCTTTGGGAGTTTGTTAAAGACCGAGTTTATGTACTACCAATATCCCTTGAGGAAGTTTGCGGTTGAATCAAGCATGCACCGCAGAACGTCATGGTGGCCATGACGGTATGGGAAGAATTTGATTATTATGTAGATGTGTGTCATGTGACCAAGGGTGCATATATTGAAGGAAACTGATAAATGCATCAGAAACATGGACAGTTGCCACTGCTTATGCTGTAACATTTGCCCATAGAAAAAAATACATAAATTTATTATTAATTTTTAAAACCACACCATTCATTTATAAACACCCAGTATCAATAATATGCATATGCCTTGATAGCTTAATATAGCACTTTAAAGACATAAAATCACGAATAGAATAACATGTTGGAAAAGGAACTGAATGTCAGATTTTCATTCATTGCTAAATAGGCATTTAAGATAAAAAAAAATTAATTTTAAGTAAGAAATAATTTTTAACTGCAATACTTTGTTAAACATTATATTTCACAAATTTGAACACTTATTTTTAAAAATATGTTTGATGCAAAACTACAACGTGCAAGAAATTAATTTTTTTTAGAGTTCATAGAGACTTTTTCTTAGCTTACTGCTCATTAAAACAAAATTCTTTTTATTTGTGAAAAGAATTCTATAAGTATTAAAAAAGAGAATGAATTTTAGCCTTTGAATCCAAATTCTTAAACAGACATGTGTACATGTATGAATATTAAAAAATATTAACAAATTATTTAACATTGCTTCCATCTACAGCTTTTTAAGTAGAGTATGTTTATAACACTAAACAAGAGAGGGTTGTAACATTAAGTTTGGTTTTGGTTTATTTAATTATGGAAAAGCACACTAGAGCTATCTGCCTAAGGGAAGGGATGCCTTCGTGGAGGACTTTCTATGGGAAACTGACTCATTACATGTTACGCATGGGAAACCATGAAATGCCCATGCGCAGCCCGATATACGTTCGTTCTGCGAGAGATATTTTTATAAGGCATTGGCGTCCGAAAGACAACGCGACAGCAAGTCCAAGGACAGCTAAAAGAAAGAGCAATTTGCTACCCCAGATCTGCGGTATTTGATGGAGGACATGGTATATCCACAGAGTGTCTGGCCCAGGGAACTTCGACAGTAATATTTTGTCGCTGGAAGGTACAGCGAGATGCTAGTCTGTGTGCTGCTTATCAAGGAAAAGTCGAACTGGTTTCGCGCATAAGCTGTTCATTCATAAGCAGACCACATGTGTCGAATCACGGCTGATCTGTACGTCTGGAGGGTATCTTTGTCACCGCACCATATATCCCAGAATCGTCAGATTCTACTTTTTTCAGTTGCAGCCTTCTGTTGGTCTCTTCCTTCCGCCAACAGAGGTGGATTCTGTTTTGACTCGCGGCCCCAGTTCGGCTAAAGGCTTGGTGTATATGTATTGCCTGAGAATCCGGCAAAGACACCGGGATATACCTAGAGGAGGGATGCTGTGGAGGATTGTATAAGGGAAACGGCCCTCATACAGTGACAATGGGCACACCACGAAACGCCCATGCAGCCGCCGTCGCGGAATTCGCACCTCGCCCCGAACACCAGTGTGCAGGACGAGCCGCCGGTCGCGGTTGGAGAAAAGTATAAAATATATAAAATAACTTTTAACTAAAATATTTAAACGCACATATTTCGTCAAAAGCGTTCTGTCAATGATTATTTCGAAATTTTATTTTTACCCATATGTAATATCATTTTTACCCAAATTGTACATCTGTTTATCTCAGTGTTTATCCGAGTTTCAGGTTTATCTCAGGTGAAGGCTATATATCTGTGTGAGATTCTTTTCCCAATATGAAATTTATTAAATAAGTACAGAAACAGGCTCATGATGAATACTTGACAACTGTATTCGAATAACAGCCACTACCTACTCTCCCAACACCAGACCACTTTTGATGATAAAAAAATGTCTGATGTGACACCCATGACGTCCTTGTACGGAATATAAATTATAGCATTTTTTTTTTTTTTTGCATTTTTAAACTTATTAGATTGAATTAAACCTACTTCGGCGACGCGCATAAACCACAATAGAATAAATGCATTTTTTAAAATTCACTTTGTTTACCTAGCGACACTCTGGCGCTACGTTTCTTAACAGTATTATGTTCGTCTATTATAACTCAGAATGCAAAAATTTACTTTAAAGAATTATCTTATCGTTGCCCATGTTCTATTCAAATACTATAATAAAGCTTAGAACGATGTATAAAGAATTAAGCAAACAAAACAAAAAAGAAACAGTTTTTCACAGACGATTGAGTATTTCTCATTCAATTAATTCAGTTTTCACTTCGCGACATCTTTCGCGTATCTTTTGCCACAAGCACCATATATCCCAGACATCGCTCAGATTTCTACCTTTTTTCACAGTTGCAGCTAAATCTTGTTGGTGAATCTTCCATTCCGCACAGAGCGTGCGAAAAGAGGTTGATCTGTTTTTGGACGCGCGGCCACCAAGTTTCTGGGCTAAAGGCTTTGGTGTATATATTGTATGTGTTTATTGAGAATACGGCAAAGCACACGAGGGCTATCTACCTAAGAGGAGGGATGCCTTCGTGGAGGACTTTTCATAAGGGAAACTGGCTCGTATACACACGTTACACATGGGGAAAACCACGAAAACGCCCATGCAGCCAGCCCGTTCGCGGGATTCGAACCTCGGACCGAACTACCAGTGTTCAGCGACTTTACCGCTCGGCCGCTGGTGGGCTGGTTGTAACATAAAGAAGCTTTAAGTTCAATTCCCATTTAGATGGAAACAAAAATAACATAGTTAATACATTTTAAAAAAGGGGAGGAAAACTAAATGAATTAATGTACAAATTTAATTAATTTTTTTCAGGTGGGGTGAATTCAGCAGAAAAGGAAATTAAAACTACAATAGACTGTTATCATTAATAATAAAAAATTGAGAACTGGACACATTAAGTTAAGTGTTAAAATGGTATAAACCCAAAATAAACAAATAAACACAGATACTTCTATAAATTAAAAAAATAATAATAATAATGTACATAACTAACCTGAGTTATAAAATAATCTCCATGAGTTACAGAAACTGCCCCAAAATTAGTATATCGAAATAAGCGGTCCATGATCCACATTATGGATTGTAGAACCGTTCCTTTCGCCTGGAAAGCCAGCATTAAAAAAGGAACATCTGCTGTAGACTGATGATTTACCAAAAACAAACACCTATCATTGGTATAGGAATTAACATCATCTCCTAGCTCCACAACTGAAAATATATATTTGGTTATATATACATTTTCAACTTATAAAAAGGGATGTTTATATTCACTAAAATCTCGATTATATAATGTAAATGGGACTGAACAACAATAAAAATAATGCCCAAACAACGAAGAACACCAATTAATAACCAAAGATCAATTTTAAAAATTAATCCACTAAACAGAAACAAAAACTAAGTTTATCTTTATACATTTAAATAGTAATATTATATCATTTGAATATGTACAGTACTTCTTTGTTTATAGAGGCCCCTGAGACTGAATTGCTAATCAACTGAGATATCAGACTCAAATCTGACCATGTGTTCTTATACTTCACCACGTGATCATATAAAGCACTGGCAGCATGTTCTTATACCTCACCACATAATCGTATATTAGCACCGTGCTGCAATCTCATTCTCGCCGCATGTTCTTATATTATTCATTTATTGATGAGGTTCATTTTGTTATTTTAAAATACTATATTCACTGCTTTTTTTGTGAATATGACATTAGCAATCTTTAATTTACAAAGTAAGGTAGATGCCATGTCAAATTTTCCAGAAATAGGTCTTTTATTCGACAAAGGAGTATGCAAAAATGGCCACAACATGAACCTTTAAAAATACTAATGACGAAAGCATCTGGAGGTGCAATGTTAAAAACTGCAAAAAGAAGAAAGGCATCCATGCTAGAAATTGGTTCAGCGGTTCCAGAACATGCCAATAACGTCACTGCTAATAGATTTATGTATTCTAGGGCAGAGGAGTTGATGTACTACCAGATGTTGTAACTACCAGCTTAATATGAGTGAAAGTGAACCAGCTCACTGGAACAATGACATGTGATAAAATAATAATGTTAAGAATTTTTTAACTCATAAAAAATGAACTGTGAGTATTAAAGTCTGATGAAAAGCGAATAAAATTTATTCTTATCACAACAAATAAAAACAAAATGGCTAAATTTCCTTAGAGGTATTTGCATTACACTACAATCACTACAATCATTAACAGCAATAAGTAAACAACAGAACTGAGATGTTTGCCTCCAGCTTTTATAAGCTTTTTAAACATGCACGAGAAACTTCTCATATTTTCTCGATTTTTCTGGATATTAAAAGAGTACAATTACAAGATATCTATTATTAAAAATGTTAGATGTGCGTACTCCTGTATTTAATTTTTACGGTGTAGCTTTCTCTTCAAATAAGTCTCATGCTGCATTGCACGGGAATATAAAACAATTTTAATAACAATTCTAGTAAAAATAGCAAACTAAATAAATACAAAATCCATAACTCTGCCCCCTTCCCAAGGATTGCACGTCCCGGGCAGTAAAATATCTGGATAGGAAGCCAAATTTACAAAGCAACAATAAACATTACATTACTATAACAACAACAAAAATAAATAATAAATAAACAACTGCAATAAGTAACGTAAATCAAATCAAATAAGTGCACAAATTTTACAAATTTAGAAACAAAAATGGTCAAAATCATGGTCTTATACTATTTATAATTATATACAATACGAACTATGGCCATAGTAATGAGCTAACCTCTCGTAATGAACGACTTTAGGTTTATAGTTCGATGACTTTAAGATACGAACCCCGTTGTCGTTCAGCCTGTTTAGGACTATGTACGGACCATCTCAAGGTGACTGTAGTTTAGGACAGAATCCTTTCCGTTGAGTCACCTTGTCTCCTTCATTGAATCGATGTCGAGCAGCTCTTGTGTCGTATTAAGTCCTCACCTTTTCCATCACCAAGTTGACTCGCTCTTCCATCACTTCAAACTGGGCCTGGAGATCTTGCATGTATTCTTCAGGCGATGAAGGTGCATCTGGAGGCCGACCAAACAGAAGATTACAAGGCAGATGAAAGTCATGCCCGAAGATAATCTGAGAATGAGAACAGCCACTAGTCTCACATTTCTCTTTGACCTTAGTACGATTTCGGCAGCTTTCTGAGCATGGTCTTTCAGACAAAATGTCAGCGTGTCCAGGTGTGAATCCCTTCTGATGATGGATAGTGGTATCCTTCTGATGCTGAAAACAGTCTGTTGTTTTTAAAGTCCAAGGAAAAATTGTATTTCCTTAAAAAGTCCAATCTGAGTATGCAAGGATCTGTAATATCTCCCACATATGCTGTGTGATAGTAGGCGGTATTTCCAAACGTGATGTTCATGTTTAACTTCCCAGCTATGTCAATTTCATCACCAGAAGCAGTCTGGAGGGCAATACAGGATGGCGTTCAAATGAGTTTATATTTAAACTGTTGAGCTAAATTTTTCCAGATGATGGTAACATTAGCTCCTGTGTCAATGATTATATTGCCAGGAACTTCATCGATATGCCCATTGATGAATAGTCCATTACTGCTGCCACTCACGGCAGAAATCTTGAGCACTTCAAACTGGGGCTTCTCATTATCTGGCAACCTCCGCCTCGCAAGATGGTCATGAATTAGTTTCCCTCCTTCTTGATAGGCAACGTCTTAACATCCGTGCCCTGAGGTGTTCTGCAGTTTCTTCAAATGTGTCCTTCAGCATAGCAGTTCCACCACTTTACTTTCGGTTTCTTGTCATCAATATTCCATCTCAAGGCATTCAACTTAAATCATCTAGACAAGCAGACATTTGATCCTCTGGCTTTTGGAATAGAGCAGCTCTGATTGGGTGGCGGTCTCTATGAGTGGCTTGCTGGGCTGCCTCGAATTTCATGGCATACAACTAAAGTGCTTTTCAAGTCCTTGACATCCGTTATTCGCAGAGCTTTCTGTATTTCAGGATCCTGGATACTGTCGATGAAGTATTGCAGGGACAGGATCTCTCTTGTTTCTTTCAGGCACTTTGAAAAAAATGAAATGGGACAGCCTTTCAGTATCTGTGGCGAGTTCTTGGAGTGTTTCCATGGGCTTCTGTTGGCAGGATTTTAATTGAAGCCTAGTATAGTCTTTCAAACATTTCTTCCCAAGCGCAGCTCCAGTGCACCAGATAGAACTTCAAAGTCTAATCTCTGGTTTTCGGGAAGAGTCTGCAAGATATCCACTGCGTCTGCTCTCGGAAAAGCAGCAATACGACAGGCCTTAGTTTGGGAATTCCATCCATTTGCTTCTGCCACTTTTGAAAATTGCATCTTAGAAACTTGCCAAGAGGTCTTCCCATCATACTTATATTAACTTCAGAGAGGGACGAGCAGGCATGAGTAAAAAATTAAAGCCCTCTGAATTGCTTCCTGCTGTGGCTATGCATCTCTTTAATGTGTCCAGTTCTTTGGCGACGACGGCAGAAACCCTGTCTTCAATTTGTTGTTCGATTTGTCCTTGCACGGCAGAAACTCTTTCTTTAATTTGTTGTTGTGCGGCTGAAACTCTTCGTTCGATTTGTTCGCAGAAAATCTTTCTTCAATGTGTCCAACTTTATTTTCAACAGCATCTATTCTGCCTTCCATAGCCTGAAATTTGTTTTCTATTATGCAGGTAATTTCTTTTTTTATTTCTTCTTGACCTGCTTTCATCTCTACTTTAACTGATTCTTGACCAACTTCCATCTTTCTTGACCTGCTTTCATTTCTTCTTTAATGGAATCTTGACACGCTTTCATCTCATCTTCAACGGAATCTTTCATCTCTTCTTTAAACACAGCAAAGGCTGCCAGGAATGCCTTAATTGTTCTTCCATCCCTCTTGCGACTGGCATTCAAACCCCATTCTGACACCAAAAAGTGTTGCTTGCGTTTGGGTTTGTAATAAATTGAATGCACAAGTCCGATGAAAAGTGAATAAAATTTATTCTTATCACAACAAATAAAAACAAATGCATAAATGTCCTTAGAGATATTTGTACAATATTCCAATATCTCCCAGTAGTTATCTTTTAAACTATTAAAACATTCAATAGCTAATACGATTTCACCGCGAATTCGCTACAATTATTAACAGCAATAGTAGCTTTCTCTTCAAATAAGTCTCATGCTGCTTGCACAGGAGTATAAAACAATTTTAATAACAATTCTATTAAAAATAGCAAACTAAATAAATAAAAAATTCATAACATTATATATTGTGTTGTTTACTTTTACATTCATGCTTCATGAGCTTGGTGAAATTATAGCTGATATCTTGGTGCAAATCTAAAGTCAACAAATATGGTTGGAGTCACATTAACAAAGAAGTACCATACATAGAAATTTGGCACAATAAAATATACACAATATTACTACTTACTGTGAAATCTCTATGAACCTGTTTAATTTTTAAAGCCAATAAGATACCATTAAGTATACAAAAATATACTTTACATGATACCCATATATTGTACGAAAATATACTATAGGAAGAAAAACACAGTATGATGGATATTAAAAGCATTACTTCCCAAAAAAAATTACAATAATAATTTATTTATTAATTAGACTTTAGTAGTATATTTAATAAAATGAGATGTCAGTTAATCTGGACTCCCTTGCAAAATGGCAGTTTAAGAGGAACTGAAGAATATCACATTAACAAATCTTAATACTTGCATTTTTTGTCTTGACAATACAAAAAGGTTTGGCTTATTTGATTATGGCAAAGCATGTGAAGTGTATGTGTCTACCTAACGGAAGAAATGCCTTTCTGGAGGAATTTTTAAGGGGAGCTAACTTGTATTGAAGCTATTACACTTGAGGAAAATCATGAAGATGTGCATGAAATCAGACCATTCACCAGGATTTACAGGGTCAAATTATCAGTGTTCAGAAATGCTTGGCTGCTGGTTGGCTGTGACAATACAAAATCACTTTCAGAATTATGCGAAAATTTAAGAATCAATTATGAAAGTCTAAAATACATGAGATGCTCAAATAAAAATAAGGATTTTAACAGCTAAATTTTATTTACTGAATACAATGAGATAACATACTCACAAAATTTCTATGCAATGTAATCTTCATCCTTTCATTTTGCCTAATAATATGTTTAAGCTTTTCTTATCATAAAGAGATAATAGCAACAAATAAATTCTTTTTTATTCAAAACAAAATAAATATTTGTAAACACATGACAAAATTCCATCTAGTAAAACTTACTATAGTAATGCGATTTCCAGCTCCAAGAAGCAACCACAGAAAGTAACCATTTGAACATGACTCCTTCAATATACCAGTAACCAGGATGATTAATAATTCGGAAAGGAAGGAGGAATACCCACATCCATAATAAGTACGTAGGAATACAATACAGATTTGTAGCTATAACAAAGCATACATGTAGAGTGCCTTTTGTTACATGGAGAAGTCTATTAAGATCCATTACTGAAAAAGAAATTGAATAGTTAAAACAGTATTTAGCACTTTAAGATTATTAAAATAAAACAAAAAAACTAAGAAAAAGTCTTTTTTTAATTACACAGACAGTTTAAATTAAATCAAAAGTATCTCTAGAATAAAGAAAGCTGTTTATATTTAACATAAGTTATTAAATAAAAGAAGAAGGCACTTTTCTATTAAATCTGTCACATTAGCTCATTTCTTTTTCTTTTAAATTTGGCTCAATTCAAATTTTGCTTGCAAATAAAAATTTCATAAGAGTAACTCTGCAAAAGAAAATACATAAAGAAATATCCTTAATTTAAAAAGCATACCTATACTTTCCTACCAGAATGAGTTTTCAGTTTCATGCTTTATGTAAAATAGGGGAGAAACTACTAGTTAAGCTAAAGTCTGAGGTACTTCAGTTAGACAGCTAGAAGAGGGAACATGTTCTGCCTTCCAGCCCCGTTGTTGCTATGAATTAAAGCTTCCTAAATTACCACCTTGCTTATTACATGCCTGTTAGCCTATGACGGTGATTTTTAGACAAAAGCCAACCATGCAATAACAACTCTGTGCGGCTTAGGCTGTTTCCTCGACTTAGCTTTGGTTTAATTTTACATTTTCAATTTTAAGTGTTGGCTTCCTGTATGCCCAAGAGGGGCCATCTACAAATAACTTAAGTTGAAAAAAAAAAAAAAAAAGGTTATTTTAGCCCTTCTTCAGAGTTGTTATTTACATAACAAGAACACAGCCAACAGTCACTACTCAGTTCTAGTAGTTAAAGGAATTTATTTAAGCTAGAACATCACACTGGCGCTCAAATTACTGCCGAACTATGTCCCTGGAAACTGGGAAATTTATTTTGGTTTTGAGTTCCAGTGGCATCAGTTAACCTAATGAAGAGGTTTGGTATCATAGTCGAGACCATGCAGGCCGCTATGAAACCTGCTGCGAAATTCGATGGAAAAGTTTCCATAATGTTGTTTCTAGAACAATTGGAATTAGATTTTACATTGCAGCCTGTTCCAGAACTAGAAAAAAAAAGAAAAAAATACTGCCATAGCAAATTTACAGGTATAAGCATTAAGCTGGCACAACAGCAATCACAAGTTCCTGCTAAGTGAGCCAGGAACTGAAAAATGCACCTCGGAAACATTATAAAATGCTCTGGTAAAAGCATTTTGAGAAGTAAAAGATCATGCTAAGCTGGAAGCAGAACATTTTAGTAAATATCAAAATAAGGTAGAAGAACTAGCCAATTTCATTTTAAGAAAAAAAATAAAAATATGAGAGCTTTTAGATTTTATATTATGTCCAGAGGGGTGCTTTTTTAATGTTTCGTGAGTTACCTTTATTTATTAAATATCATGCTCTTTGCACTTAAACCATAAAATTCAGTTCAACAGCAATACCGCAAAATAATTTTTAAATGAGCATATCTTTAGAGTTTCTGATACACAGACTCGCGTGTGGAAATAAAAATGTTTTTATCGTATAGTGTTGCCAGTACTCGCTTTGAAATTGTTGAGTTTGTTAATCAAAAATTCCTTAAATATTTACAAAATGTGAAATAGATAATAAAACAAATTCAAAATTTGGACTTCCAGATGCCTATATTCGGAGAGGGGAGCGTACGTTATTACAAATTTGATGGCTCTAGGTACCAGTTTTATCACAATGCGAGAAATAAACATACATTTATGCAGATTCTTCTTTATTTAATTTCATTAAATATAAAACAGGGCTCTAATATTTGGTGGCAACAATCTGAAAAGTGAACAGATATTTACAATGAACTAATGCAAAATACCAAAATGAAATTAATAATTCTTCTGTGCAAATTGCCCTTTTGGACTAAAATTTCAAGTATTAAATTTAATGTACGGCAAGAGGTCAGACAGCAAAGTAATAATAGAGGTAATTGTACCACGTCTGCTTCACCGATTCAGGACTTTTTCAAGGTCAGAAATCCTAACACATTCGAAAGCTTATTTCAACTGGCCGTAAAATTTGAATGTTGGTGAGCATCAGAGAAAATGAGTACATTGACTTACGGGCAGAGGTTGGCTCATCAGTATTTACGATTTTCACCCCAGCAAGGACCACAGGGTAGCCAGAATAGGCAGAATCCCTATCGGCAAACAGATGCAACCACAAAGGGCAGCAGTAGAAATTTGGGGGGAAGAGAAATTTTAGTGATGACCAGAGTAAACATGGGGGGAAACAAAACAAAACAAACAAAAAAAAAAAAAAAAAAAGGGGGGGCGGAAAAGAAACAGAATTTAAACTAATTTCAGGTGACCGATGACAAGAGGGTACTATTACCCTTGATGAGGGAAAATTCCTCTTTAGTTAATTAACTCTTTCAGGACGGGCATCCCATATATGCATTCCCTAAGAATGTCTCTTACAGCCGGGCATCCCATCCACGCATCACTAAAAATTGCATTCAGAGGATGGGTGATACGTATACGCATTTTAAGGTGGAACGTTTTTCTGAAGACCACTAGATGGCATCCTATGTCCATTACTTTTGAAATGAACAAAGTTTTAGGTTCCTGACCTTGAGTTTGATACATTCTGCCTGACTTTGGTATTTTACTCATCAACTGTTGCGAGGGTGGGGAGGGAAGCGTAAATAGAGGTGGGCTCTTTAAATTGCCACATGCTGATATAAACATTCGCATGTCTGATTTACATCCAATTCCTTTTTTTTATTCTATTTTTTCCCTCTACTATGTACAGTCTTTTAGGGTTACTATGTGGAGTTCTGTTACGTTTTGCATTGCCTTCATATATATTTCCATTTCTTCTCTTTTTATTTTGGAAAGCCTAACCTCCAGTCTATTATGGCGGGAAGGCGCTGTTTAGAGGAAGAATACCCTCGTATGGTTAATGAGCTATTTACTAACACACATGAGAGTGATGATTCATTTTCTAAAGAGTTAGAAAGCTATACTTTTTCTAAGAGTTATAAAGTGATTTTTCTCTGTGCTTCGAGATTTACCCTAGTCTTCATCTTAAATTTTGTTACTTATTATTGTAAATAGTCTTCATTGTGTTGTTTTATTAATTTTAAACTTTATTGATGGATTTTATCAATTAAAACTTTGGAATAATTTGAATAGCGCTTCCAAAAATTATTTTACAAGACAAGCAATTTTTTAAGTATATTTTCATGTAAAATACAGAAAAAAAAAAGGTTATTAAGTGCTAATTTTAACATATATAAGAGCTGAAGTAATAATCTAAAATGATACCAAAAATTACGATTCTAGAAGTGAAACTTTTTTTTTCTGATTTTTTTTATAAAATTAGGCTTAGCGATGCAAAACCTCCGTCCTGTACAGTGACTACCTTTGATTCCCTTCCGTCTCACACAAGCGTTTTAAACAAAGGTGTGCCATTGCAAAAGAGTTAAATACTGTGGTCATGTAAAATTTGGCGCTGCCAGAAATTCAAATTTCATTAAATAATGTCCTAACAACTATCCTAACTATTAGATACTAGGGCTCAATACAGTTTCCTGTCACAAGACATTTTTAGAAAAAAATTTAAGCTGCGTCATATTTTTAAAGTAACAGGGCCGAAAGTAATTGCCATTTAGGGTAAGCAGTGCATATGCCTTGGGAAAAAGGGTCTGTACTTTCAAATTAAAGATGAGAAGCTATGAGTTACCTCCTTTGTAGTTAAAAATTTGCTAGTGCTAGTTATTTTGGGGACTGATTTTTTATGCACAGCAGGTGCAAAATTAAAGTTTAAAGATGCTAATTTACTGATTCAAAAGGAAAGAGAACAGAAGGAAGAAAGTCAAATACCTGAAGTGGATCTCTGTTACCTGCCAAAAGGAGAAAAAGAGAAGTTGGGAATCTTGGTAAGGAAATTTTATAAATTACTTGAGTCTAAGCCCGGTTTTTGTCAAGTCGTTAATAATGAAATCGATACTGGTGGTGCCGCCCTGTAAAACGCAAACTATATTGACATGACAAGATCCAGGAAAAAAATCATTGCAAAACACATTCAAGAAATGCTAAAGAATAAAATCCCAGTCCCCACAAGCAGTCCATACACGAGTCCTATAGTCTTGTGCCATAAGAAAATAATTTTCCACTTTCAGATGATAAAGCATAATGATTTGCCATCAGTTACCGTAAACTATACAGCATTACAGTGCAAAGTGTGAGATCCAGACTCGCCGGAGCTTTGGCGATTATGGATTTGGGATTTTTCCGGATGTTAGATCATCAGTTTAAATCTAGTAAGATGGCAAGTAGAAATTATAAAATTAAAAATAGGAAATTGTGATTTATAAAGAAAGAAGCATTTATGATGTAAAGGGCATCAAAATTTACGAAACAAAGCTTGATATTTATTTGTTTACTTTATTAAACATTTTTTTCATTGTAACTTGTTTCAGTTCCTTTCCTTTTTGTGCTAATACATTCTCTTCTTTTTTTTTTTTTTTTTTTTTTTTTTTTTTTTCTATAGACAGATATAATTTCTTGTTCAATTACAACATTCCATCATTCAAGTCCTGTAATTGCTGTATTCAGAATTCCGACAAACTTGTGAATCAAAATTTTTATGTTTTCATTAAACCTCTCTGTCACTTTCTTCACTATTGGTAGTGGTATTTTCGGGATCTAGAACCATACTACGGATTGCGGTGTTCGTTAATTGATTGATAATTGAGGTATTGTCATCGCAATGAAAAACTTCTACTATATCATATTCATGTATTACTGCTTCTCTACATTTCTTTAAAAAATCCATTCATAGAAAAATTTCACCTTTGGTCTGCAATATCCCCAAACCTTCAAAATTGCAGCTATCATTTTTTGCAGCACAAGAAAAAAGAAAAAACAACATACAGAGACAATAATCATCATCAAAGGTGTTTGAAATTATGACCCGGACCATGATGCAGGAAACATGCATCATGTGTCTTCCATGCGATCTTCCATTCATGATGGAGATCTTCCATGCACCAAAGAAATGAG